CACAGACACTGACGTGGGCAGCACTGATCACAGACACTGACATGGGGGAGGTAGTGATCACAGACATAGTAGACATTTGGGAAATAGTTTTCTTGCTTTTGTGATGAAGCAAATTTATTAACAACCATGAGAGTCAGTAATTTTCAATAAATCATGACTTGCTGATTTATTTCAAAAGATCCATATAGCAGTAAACAATACCATTTACATTTAATTAGTTTTATTGAATGAAAGGCAATTTTATTTGTAATGAACCACATGTTATGATTAAGGATGTATTTTAATGACCTTTAACTAATGTGAACAAATGTTGCCCTTGACCTAATAGCAGAGGCTTTCCTAGATTATTGAAAACTTCAGAATGATTTTTAAATTATCATGAAAAGCTTCAAATGACATTCTCATTATTGTGTCATTATTCAGTCATTTGATGTCTAATATACGAGATGAAACACACTCTTCTAAATATTCATGTGCATGGAGAAATGAGGATTGTTGCCAGCTTTTTTTTTTCCCCGTTTTAAAACGTAGGCTCTGGTATGAAAGGTTCATGTTTTGAAAATCACTCTGATGGTGTAGTACTTAAATAAGGAGTTACTCTGCTGAGTACTGGTGGCTCACACCTTTATTTCTAGCTACTTAGGAGGCTGAGAATGGGGGGGTCACATGGGGAGGAATCACAGTTTGAGACTAGTCCAGGCAGAAAAGTTTATAAAACCCCTTCTCAGCTGTAGCTGGACAAGGTGATGCATGCTTATCTTCTTAGCTACAAAGGAGGCTAAGATGAGGGGAGGTTTGCAATTCCAGGTCAGCTCAGGCAAAAAGCCTGTAAGATTCCATCTGAACAAAAAGGCATGTAGTGTACACTCATCCCACCTATGATAAGATGTTAAAACAGGCTGGTCAAAATCTGGGTAGGTGCCTTAAAGTTGTGGCTCTGTGGTAGAATGTCTGCCTAGCAAGCATGAGGCCTTAAGTTTAAAGCCCAGTACCAAAAAAGTAAGTTAATAAATATAAATAAGATAAAGTAGGATTCATTTTCAGATTTGCTGTATCCATAGGTTACTCTGGCAATTTATTGGACGCTTTGGACCTTTTTCTACAACTCTCAAGTTATTTTATGCTGTAAACTAGCTGCAGCTTAACTTGACTGTAAGTTGTTTCTGCGTGGTCTAAGCTGCAGTCACAACCCTGTTGGAATAAGCTAGTATGTTCAGCTCTGTTCCATCAGACTAGCCTCTGTTCCCTGGTGAGTGGACAAGTAGTTCCTGTTTCCCCAGCCCGGAAGGGTTGGCAGTTAGCTTCCACAGTTGCATGCACTCAGAAGGATCTGAGAAGCAGAAGCAGGTGAGGCAGCAGTGTCCTCCCTGAGTCTGAGACCCTGGGCTGCAGCTGGGCTTCAGGGTTTGCAGGGCAGCTGCCCTGTGGAAGTGCCCCGCATGCCCTGAGCACCACCTTTTATCACCTGCAGTCTCGGTCCTCCTCATAGAGGCATCTTTCACAAAAGATTGTTTCAGTATCAATCCAGAGTGATTTTGGAGGTTCAGTAATGAACCTCTGTCTTTGGATGCCTTGTGTTGTGTTACTGTAGAACTCTTCTGATTCATGAGATGAAACTTGACCAGTACACTCAAATAAAATGAGTTTCTCTCTGTGTTGAGAGCCCAAAGGAGTCCAATGCTGATGGGACAGTCAAATCATATTTGATATGTGACATCCCACACCAGAGAAAGGACTGCCTAGTGGGCAGGTTTGCAGTCCCCATTCCATGCTGCTAGGTGTGAGGGAAGGTGTTCCTGCTGCCATTCAGAGGCCTGAGCGGTTCCCTCTCTGGGTCTCCTCCACTCACAGAGACAACACTTTATAGAGTACTTATAATAAAGCCTTAAAGGAAGCTTAACACAAAACTAAACTTCACAGTATCTAACAGTGCTTAGCAGCATTTAACACTTCTTCCTACTGTCCAGCTCCTTCCCCAGTGCCCTGGGGAGAGTTGGGTCCCTCTTCCCTCTGTCTCATTAGACATGTCCTTAGTCAGTTAAAACACAGTCCATCCACTAAGAGCTGGTCTTAAACTTCTATTCTGTAATGTGCCATTTGAGCTTACCAGCTAGACAAACTGAGGGAAAATCTCCAGACAATCATGACGAAGTCATTCATATCCCCCCCCCCCCCCACTCTCCAAGGTTTGGTTGTTACAAAATCATGGCATTCCATTTGTCAGTCTTTTTATGTCCCTAACTCTTCCCCTGATGTTTCACCTGGGATTGTGTGCAGGAAGGACAAAAGCATGCTTTCAGAGGAGAAATTTTTTATGTAACCTAACCTGGCCAGAAGGACACATGTTTAAGAATCAGGTCAAGAGGAGATCCTGAATTTCCAGAACTTTACAAGATCTTTCTGTGATCATCCCCACTCCTTTCATCCCAGCCATATGTCTTGGGAGTGGCCTGGAGAACATTGCTTTCTCAGCAGGAGAACGCAGTATCCAAATTGCCTCACCAATGTCAGGAACCTCAGACTCTTGGTCCACTGCTACAAGCCACAGCAAGCACATGAGATGTCCTTGGGGACTAGTGAGGGAGCAAGGGTTCTGTCTTTGTAGGCTGGAAAGGTTCACCTTCCTGGCGATGTCCTCTTGACCTGCAGATCTGGCTAAGGTCACAGGGTATGACTGCCACGTGTCAGGAGTTTAGACTGATAACTGGTAAGCACGAAGCCCTGAGTCTAAACCCTTGCACCATCAAAAACAAAAAAAACCTCTAGCACATAATACGTGAATAATTTTAATTAGTGATTAAAAAAATTCCAAGTCAATTTATTTCAATGTAACATTGAAATTAATCCTTTTCTTTTATTTTTGTATTCCAGGATCTTTTTTCTATCAGTGCTTATGTTTATGCTCAGAAGCCACAACTGGATATTCATAGTTTTGAAGGGACATTTACCAGGGTGAGTTAAAATATTTTATTCAGTTTAACAGTACCCATTATCGTCATAAATTAAAGGTAGTAGGCCCTTGTTCTGAGAGAATAATTCAGTCTAGAGTAATTTGCACAGAAGCTTTGGACTAAAAAGGGAAAAGCTAGAGGAAGTGCCAAATTCTTGGGTGTGTTTTTGTTACTCGTATTCCTGTGAGGTACTTCAGTGCAGATTTTCTGATTTCTTGACATAGTTAGCATTTGGTAAAATCTTTTCACCTACTACATGAGTCAGTATAATGATATAGTTTAGCAATTCATTTGGCTTTCAATAATAGTTGGTATGCTACGATGTTTGCATCATTTCTAGCTTTTGAATCATTTGAGTGTATGCTTATTTGAACATTTCTTCAAGTACTAGATGTATTTTATTCCACATTCATTTTGTTATGGCATTTGGTAAACTCTTTAAAGGTCTTTAAGCTCCTCTACACCTGTCTACTAGGATTGGAAGAATTCAGTATCTTCTTTTTAGCTTCTATTTATTTTATTAGCTAATAACGTACCATAAATGACTTGCAGTAAGGGATTTTAATATGTGTCTATGGTTTATTTTTAATTGATACAACCATCTTTAGAAGATTTCTGTTGTTTCACTCTTTTGGTCACACGAAATAGGCAGGCAGTGTCATCATCTGAAACCACTTACAGAACTTAAGTGACATCTTATATACAAACCGTGCATATGCAAATGAGGGGACCTGTGAGGTTGTTTAGAGTCTGTGGAGAGGTGGATGTCACTTTATAGTTATTTCTGTATGTGCAGCAGACAAGATCCCATGGGAGAATAGGAGGAAGTGTGTCCAAGTGGTAAGGATTATGAAATGAGTTTCAAAATACAGCTCTTTCTGTTCTTTTACAAAAAATTATTTTGATAAAAACAAATTCTTTTGAAAGGTCATATATGAGAAAAAGTATTATAAATAGGTATTTTTGTTTATACAAAAAGTTTGAATATAATCACTGTTAAGAATTTGGAATATCAATGCTGGTTGCCACTGGTTCATACCTGTAATCCTAGCTACTCAGGAGGCTGAGATCTGAGGACCATGAATCAAATCCAGCCAGGCAGGAAAGTCCATGCGACTCTTATCTCCAGTTAACCACCAAAAAGATGGAGCTGTGGCTCAGTGATAGGGCACTAGCCTTGAATAATAGCTTAGGGTCAGGGTCCAGGCCCTAGGTCTGACACTTAAAAAAACAAAAAAGAATTTGGAATATTATTTTCTTTCCTCCTTTCCTTCCCTTTCCTTCCCTTCCCTTCCTTTTTCTTTCTGGTTTATATTGCTTATGATTCCTACAAGTCAGAGGTATTTGCTAGACAACGTAGAAGCATTTCAAGGTCTAAAAATTGAGAGTAGCCTGGTCATAACTCTGAAGGGGGGAGTGTGTGGCGAGGGAGTTCTGTGCTGTTATAGGAGATGTAGAAGCAGAAGCTATCCAAATTATCAGAAGAAGACTGTAAGGACTTTCAGCTTAGAAGAGAAATGGTGACTCTGGTGAGCTTCAAAGGATACCTTAGACTTCCTGGTTCCTTAGGTTAGTTGAGCCCATCTAAGTTTGTGTATGTCCTCACAGCCTTCCAACACTGTACCAGCCAATGATAAGGGTGAATAGGACCACTTACAGCTCATATGTGCCACATACATGTGAGACAGAAAATTCTGCACACTGGAAGTAAGGGGAATGTCCATAGTTAGGACATAGCAGAGGACAGGAGATTGTCCAAAGACACTGGCATCATGGAGGGGGTCTGCCTTCAGAAGAGGAGCTCCCAGGTGGGGTCCTGGGTCTTCTCTCTTGGCTGGCAAATGAACTAAAACATGCTAATCAGAGGTGGCCATTTGGGGGACATACATGTACAGGGTATTTCCATAGATGGTTGGTGTTTCTAGGAGCCCTGATAAGAAAGAAAAGGATGAAATTGACCTTTCTTAGATAAGACAGTGACATTTAGAATGGACATTGTCATACCACTCCCAGAAATGGTAGTTCATAGAAGATACTAGGCTTTAATGTATGGTAGACATGAACACATTCCAGCTTCCCTTCTTGGAATAGAATCTTCTACTATAGCAGGTTCAGTCAACATTCATTATTATGATAGAAGGGACCAAAGAAAGAAGATAGAAGGGAAGAGAGAGAGAAAAAAAAAGAAGGAAGAGAGGCAGGGAGGGAAAGAGGAAGGGAAGCAGATAGTGAGAAACAAACCTTGTAACAAATTCTAAGCCTGGCATTGGTGGCTCATGCCTATAATCCTAGCTCCTCAGGAGGTTGAGATACGAGGATCGTGGTTTAAAGCCAGCCCAGGCAGGAAAGTCTATGAGATTCTTATCTCCAATTAACCACCAGAAAAGTGGAGGTGATGCTGTGGCTCAAGTGGTATAGCGCTCGCCTTGAGCTGAAGAGCTGAGGGACAGTGCCCAGGCCCAGAGCTCAAACCCCATTACTGACCAAAAAAAGAAAAGAAAAAAAGAAGAAGAAAAGAAAAAAAGATCTAAGCTGGGTGCTGGTGGCTCACGCCTATAATCCTAGCTACCCAGTAGGCCGAGATCTGAGGATTACAGTTCAAAGCCAGCTCTGGTAGGAAAGTCCATAAGACTCTTCTAGTTAACCGCCAGAAAATCAGAAGTGGTGCTGTGCCTCAGAGTGCTAGCCTTGACCTAAAGTGCTCAGGGACAGTGCCCAGGCCCTGAGTTCAAGCCCCCAAACCTCCCCAGAACCATCCAAATCCTCTAAAAAAAAAAAAACTCAAAATAAAAAACAGAAACAAGAACTCTAAGGCAAAGCAATGTCTTAACAGTGCAACAAACCTAATAAATCTCACTTAAATATGGTTAACCAACTAGGTAATATAGAACATAATAAGTTAGGGATTAACTCAAGAATAGAAAATGTAAATGAGTTCTAACTGAGCTCAGGAAAACATAGAAGAGCATGAGCATCTGAGAAGTGAAGACCTTGCTGACAGTGTACCCAGGAAGAGATATGAAAGTACACTGTGGTGGGGAGAAAATGAGAAAGCAAAAGATGTGCAAACCATCAGGAAGCGACAGATTTCAAAGATCCAGTATTCCTGATTGCCTTTTGGGAGGAAGTCAGCTTGGAACCTTACTTTCAGCCCACAGAACAAGGTCAGAGCAGAGTAGTAACTTTAAGAGCCTTGAGTAAGACAATGTGGACCAAGAATTCTCCTTGAAAATCAAAGCAATAGAGAGCCAGAGTTCAGCTGGCAGAAATCAAAGAGTTACACCATGTGTGTTTTTGCTTTATTCAGTGGGCTTTGGGGGAGGAATTTAGTGAATACTGAGGGCATTAATGTATCTAAGATTTAAATCTAAGGTTAAACAGAGTAGACGTATTTGGGACATGATCACTGAATGCTCCCTTGGACTTGGAGTTTCTTTGTCATGCCCACATTCTTGTGCCTGGGTCCTGGGTTCAGCAGTGTGAGAAGACAGCAGTATGCACAGTTTGACTTAGAAAATGGGGCATCCTTGTTTCTAAGTCTTGGAATGGGATTGCCATGGGTGATACCTACTTCATTAGATACAGGGAGGTCCTTTTGAGTTTGGACTTCTGGCAGAAGGGAATAGGGAGGGAGTCTTCTTTCACTGCACGGTCATCTGTCCTTGTCCTTGGGTGGATGGTGTAAGGCCTACCCCTTCTTAGGGAACCAAAATCTATACATGCTTAAATGAAGTGTGTAAAACTAAAATAATTGACATACATTCTCTCATATGCTTTTAATCTCTAGAATACTTCTGACATCTAACTCGGTGCAAATACTGCATAAATAGTTATGTATTAGACAAGAAGGACATGGAATTAAAGCATGTGTATACTTAGTAGAGATGCAAGCATTGTAGGTCTAGCACTACTAAAATGTACCCGAAGGTAACATGGCAAACCACTGCTTGAGAAAGATTGAGGGAGGCTAGGAGGCTACAGCATAGTTGTGCGCACACATCTCGTTCACATGGACTCAGTCAAGTTCTTGGAGCATGGCATATTCAAGTTTGGCTTTTTGGATCTTTCTGGAATTTTTTCCCCAAAGATTTTATTTTTAATCTCTTGACTGAATCCACATATTCAGAGCCTGAGGATTTAGATTTTTGTGAAATTATACATGAAAGGAACAGTGAGAGGATCCTTCACACCCATGCCAGGGGACCATGACCATGCGGAGGCAGGCAGGCAGGCACAGGAGAAAGATTAGTGCAAGGTTTATTAGAGGAGCCATATTTGCCCTGGAGAGAGAGCACATGGCAGCCTCCACTATCTAGATAGCAGCAGCAGCAGCTGGCCGGGGTGGGGTAGGAAGTGAGGTGGATGGGAGTTCAGGTGGGTCTGGGTGTGGGGGGGAGGGGGAGAGGGAGGGGCCAGCAGGTCTGGGTGGAGCTGAGGGCCAAAGGTAGGCATAATGCGTACAATATGTATTTCACAAGTGGAAGTGAAGTTGCCTCTGTTTTAGCCAACTTTCAATCTGATTGTACTAAGAAGAAAGAAGCGTAATCATTTGCTAGTATTGACCTTTTTAATTGTGTGCATTCTACATTTACTCCTTAAGGCTGTTTTGCTTAATAGAAAAGGGGATACTCAAGGATTTTTAAGTATTCACTCACTGTCACATCCTGCTGCATTTTCTTAATTAGATCAGGGGAAGCTGCAAAGTGCACGTAATTTCCTCAGTGCTCTGGTTTGACTATGCCCCAAGTCCACATGCTGGGAACTTGACCCTTAATGTAGCAGTGTTGGACAGGGACCTTTAAGAGGTGGTTATTCAGGAGGACTTGCGTGATGAGTGAAGGTCACTGTTGTAGAAGTGGTTCTGTTATCACCAGAGTGGGTTCCTGACCAAAGCAAGTTTGGCTCCCTTCCCCTCTCCCAGCCACACATACATTTACTGTAGGGCACCTTCTGCCTTGTCAAATGTAGCAAGAAGGCCTTCATTAGAAATAGCTCCTATCT